TGTTTGTGTAAAAATATTAGTGCCAAAATTAGTATGTTGAATGTATAATTTTGTTCATTTGGGTATTTTTAGTATCTCTTTAGCCTGGAAAAGTTTTGTTTTTATTTGTTACATATTTATTTCTTTGAAATAAAAAAATATAACAAAATCCTTTTATAAAAACTATATTCATTTTGGCCTCGTTTACTAGCAGTGATAGGATATGATAAGGTTGGTTAACCAACCTTATCACTTGTTTACTAGGCTGGGTGTGAATTAGGTTTATGCGGATGTGGCGCGTGGGTCCCGCTTTTAAAATCTGACGTGCGCGGTTTAATTAGTCCGCCCATTTTGGCCGGACAAAACAATCCGGGTTTTATCCTTCCCATTTTACCCTTACTGTAGCACGTGAAAAGTCCCTTTTACCCCTTAATTTCGTCCAAATTACAGATATAGAAAATATATATTTTCTGCTCTTGTACGTTCCTCTCCATCGACAAGTTCCTCTTCTCTTTCTCGTGAGCTCCGCCGTAACCCTAATTTCTTCTTCGTTTATCTTTTTTTTTTTTTTTTTTTTTTTTTTTTTTTTTTTTTTTGATTTTTTCGTTATGCTAGTCGCAGGTTTTTAGGGTTCGCGGTGCACGACGGTTTGGCAAATGTTCCTCGTTAATCGATTTGTGAATATCAAAGCATGTTTTCATTTTTTTAACCTGTGCGACTGATTCTTATCTGCAGGTCTCAATTTCGTTGTGTTCGTCGAGCAATTCGGCCGTAACCTCCTCCTACCCCACTATTTATGCTACCTGGTATAAATTTAGAAATTAATTTTTGTTTCTTATTGTTTTCCGTTTTGTTCGATTCATATATACGAACTATCTGGGATGTTAAATGTAGTTTTTTGTTACGTTGTTGCGAAATAATTATTAAGGTGTTCTATATTTGACATAAATAGGGCATATTTGGGTGTTTCGTATGATATTGATGTTAGTGTTAGTTTTAAAAATGAGTAGGTTTAAATGAAATGCGGTTTAACCTACATTGGTATCGAGTGTTCCGTATGATTCCATTTGAATGTTGTGACTATTTGTTTTCTGTGAATGCTTGCGTGTGATTCAATAAATAAGGCTCTCTGTCATACATAGATTTACAATTTTGCATCTATTATGTCGAGTATGAGTGAGCTTAACAGGTTTCGATGTTGAACATGTCCTCCTGTGGCTGCCTTCGTTCAGCACTATATTATATTTTGTGTCTTTCTGCTGTTAAATATGTTGTATATTGTGATATATTAATGTGTAATCTATCAAGTTGTATAGGATGTTATAGTACTTATTGTTTGTTGTGCCATGCATGTGTTTCTTGTTTTGTTAAGAACAAAACAAGATAACGATTGAAAAGTGCAATATGGACAATATGGACAATATAACGATTTCTTGAGATTGAAAAGTGCAACTTCTTTCTATGTTGTATTACATACTTAAATCATTTGTTGACTTTGTGCTTGCCTGCCATGTCTTGCGATTATCACTTCTCCATGTTGTTTTAAGTACATCATATGTCTTGCCTACATTTCTTTTAATCATGTCTGTGAGTATCTTTTCATATTTTTGTTTAAGTACAAAAAATATAATTAAGTTCTAGCTTTGAGATTACTTGTATGTGCTTTTTTGTGTAAGATTTTTTTCACCCATTTTTTGTTAGGCAATCTAACATGTATGCCGCCTTGTTTTTGGATTCAGGTTTCTTTCTGTAATTCCCTGCCCAATCGCAAAAGGTATGTATATGCTAACAAGAAATCATCTTATACATATTTTTCTGTCATTCTCTGCCCAAAATCGAAAGAATGTGGTAGTTTAACAATGTATTTGTTGGTCTGTTTTCACTGTTTTTGGTGCTCTCACTTGATGTTGTGCTCATTATTTTTGTTTGTTGTTGAGATTAAATTCCAATGTCTAAACTCCAATTTCTACCTTATGGTTTGTGCATCGATTTGGCAATAGCTGATTTGTTAACCACACAATATGTTTCACAACATTGAGTTGAGAATGTTCATTATGCGAATATGCGTTTATGTGCACTCTCTGCCTCATTTTGGTGTGTGTGCTTGCTTTTGAACAGTACCTGTTGAGCTGCAGTACTATAACTTGGGCATTTGTGCTACGCAAGATGCTTTGTATTAATATATATTATACTACCACATATGTATAAGGTACCACGTGTATATGCTGCATTTCTTTGTTCAAAGTACACTGAATCACTGATTTGTTGAGTTAGGACAACTTCTCATCTCCAGTGATGGTCATGTTGTGTATCCTAAACCTTGACACCTCTGTTATGGTGTAAATTATTTCTCATTTACATAGAGTACCCTTTTTGTATCTGTTCCGATGCATTATGTCTGGTTATATATATGCAAGATTATATGTATTGCACATACTTACCAACATATAAGTTTGCCTGAATTGATCTTCAATTATGAACATGATAATGCTTGAATGTTTCTTTTCATTATGTGGCATGTTTGTTTAATTGTGTCGCATTACGCTGATATTCCTACATTTATGCTCCCATTACATGTGTAAACAACTTGTCAGTGTGGTTTATTCATAAACATTTGTAGATGGATTCAATTGGAGAACAATTAGCGGTTGTTGCTATATTGGAAGAGGTCATGTCTAGTGTTCAACTTTTTTTGCTGCTAGCTATCTATTACTATAACACATTCATCCTCCCTCGGCGAAAACGTCGACGTTCGGGCAATAACCACGTCCCTTTATTCCGAGTTAGTGATAGACTGCCCCTTCAAGTCAACTACATGCGAAGGTTGATTGACGTGAGTGACACAACTTGCCTCGAGAACCTCCGCATGGATCGTAACTCATTCGGGCGTCTGTGTCACCTTCTTGAAACTTCTGGCGGTCTAAGGCAGTCTAGAAATGTCCCTTCAAGTGAACAAGTGGCTATTTTCCTGTCAATCCTAGCTCACCATAAGAAGAATGTGACTTTAAAGCTTGATTTTGTTAGATCCGGTCGAACCATAAGCAAATACTTTAACCGAGTTCTTGACGCTGTAATCCGAATTCACTCAATCCTAACTGCAAAACCAAATGCAGTTGAGGCAAGTTGTGTCGACGAAAGGTGGAAATGGTTCAAGGTAACCTACAACACATTTTTCAACGTCGTACCAATATGTTCGTTCAACCCTGTCCACCTAATACGGTTTTTGGGTGTTTCTTTGGCATAGGGATGTCTAGGAGCACTAGATGGAACCTACATTGACGTGCGAGTCCCTGGTGTTGACAAGGCACGATATAGAAACCGTAAGAATCGTATATCTGTGAATGTACTTGGGGTTTGTGATAGAAACATGAACTTCGTGTATATGTTATGTGGATGGGAGGGGTCAGCGGCAGATAGTCGAGTCTTGCGTGATGCGGTTACTAGGACGCATGGTCTACGTGTTCCCAATGGTATTAGACTTATTCTATTAGCTAAACACCATCCATTCCTCTTGTCAAAATAAACCAATTAGTGGGTTTTAATTATTTACATTAAATGAAAATGTCAAACAGGAAACTATTATTTGGTGGACGGTGGGTATACGAATGGTCCGGGATTTTTAGCACCATATAGGGGTGTTAGATACCACC